TATGGTGGTATTAAACATTTTGTATTGTAGATATGTAGTGGTGTAATAATTTTATATGGTGTACTGTTTTATCTTTTGTTTTATATGTAATGTAAGTGCTTTAATATGTTTGGACCCCAGGAAGAGTAGCTGCTGCCTTGGCCGCAGCTAATGGGGCTCCCTAATAAATACAAATACAAAGAAAACAGAATTGTTTTAAAAGCTAATATGGTATTTTCAAAGATATTGATATAGGTCTACTGATTTAATCAAAGTGTTGACAGTGGAGTAGTCAACTGCTTCTTTCAAAGTCCATCTTTAACATATGCTTCAATCATACGTACCTGGATTGCAGATAGCTGAGAAAATGCCTCTTAAAAGGAAGCTTGAAGCATGTGGACGTCTGCAGACTCTGACAGGATTCTTTAAAGGCCCAGTGCAGTCAAAATTAAGTTATTCCTGTGTTTTATGTCATGCTGTACAACAGCGAATGAAATTAACTGTAAAAGTTTGAAAAAAAATGTATCAGTGTTGAAAATACAATCTAGCACTAGAAAGTACCAGAGGCCACCAAAATAGAGCTTGTTCGGCAAAGATGTCTTAACCCAGGGGATGGGGGTGGGAAGCCCCTCCGGACCCCCCAGCCCAGGGGAGCCTGGCTGGCTACTTTTTCTATTTAGCTGGCTACGCCATGTGCTTGTGGAAAACACTGGTAGTGTAGTTATGATCCATGGTTAATTGCTCTACTCCCCATATCCACAGTCATAACCTCACACTGAAATGGTAGACTTGTTGTTTTGGGGCTACCCCCAGAACCACACTGCTAACTGCCAAGGCCATACTCTACCATCCCCTCAGGCAACGACTCTGCTCTCATATTTTTCCATTCATCCCTCCATCTCTTTTCTCCACAAGACCAGCATGTCTACTTTTTTTTCACCCCGTCCTTCTCTCTCCTCATCCACTCCAACATGTTAAGTCTCTTTTCTTTTCCCTTACGTGCTTCTCTCCCCCCCTGAGTCCTCCTCTCATCCTTCTCCGCCACCACGCTCTCCATTTCCCCCAGTGTGCATTGACACAGATAATGAACCAGTTTATGCATGGATTATTGCTGGTTGCACTAGGGCTGATACAATAGAGAAAGTCTAAAGCGATGTACTAAACTTCACACAAGGTAATTAGGAATTTATTGCATTTACATAGTCCTAGCGCTTTCCCAATGCTTTAAAAAAATGTTTTACATTGTAAGGATACACACAGATGCACATTGCAGATAGTAGATTGAGAGAGAAGCTATTTCCCGTCTTAGTTTATTTTCTCTCTGGGTTCCCCTATTCTCCTTCTATGGCTTCAGTACCTCAGGAATACAGCAGTGTATAAATATAAACCAATCGTATGGTGATATGTGGTACCGATAACTTTGAATGGTGATTTGGAACCAAACGTGGTAGGCCGACAGTATGATACGAGACCCTTTCAATGGTGATTTCAGACAATTTCAACTGAGAGTGCGCATGTTCACGATAGAAGACATCACTGGGCAGTCTTCTTGGGAGAGCTATACAAACAGTCACACTCAGTGCGCGACAGCGGGCCAGCGCAGCACTCACATCCTACCTACTCTAAAATGTAATATGAGATGATGACCCACTGGCATGGTGGAGAGGGAAGGAGGTTGCTTTCCGCTCTTGGCCAACGTTACCATCAAATACCTCTGCATCTGTGCAAAAAGCGTTCTGTCTGAATGTGTTTTCAGGAGGCCTACAGCAGGCAATATTGTTACCTCACTCCGCAACAATAAATGTAGCCTAGGCTAAAATATTCTGTTGTGTACCTTAAACTTATTTGCACTGTCATTTATTTGGTTAATTTCATAGTTATTTTGTTTACTTTATTTATTCGGTAATTTGTAGCGTATCCAAATGTGGTTTATTATTTTTATAGGAAACATTACATTTTTTGTTCCCGCTTATCGAAAGCGCTGCTGTGGGAGCTTATGTAATGCCCGTTGTGCATTTCAAGGATATGAATAAACACTTCCACAATAATATACATATCTGTTTAGAAGTTTAACTTGTACAAGTAACGTTTACTGCAAATTGTATTGACAGTATTCTAGTGTAGGCCTACATTATTGGCTGTTTGGTTTGCAAGGATTTTCCAGCGGCACACAATTAGTTTTTCCTAAAGCTTTGGTCAGGTGGAGGCCAGACATGTATAAGGTTTGTTTAAACTTCCCATTTGATTATTCTGTCTCGCAATTGTTGTCTCTCTCTCTCTCTCTCTCTCTCTCTCTCTCTCCCTCTCTCTCTGCCCTTTCTATGGCTCTTTTAAAATGCACTGCTCAAAAACATAAAGGGAACACAATGTAACTCCAAGTCAATCACACTTCTGTGAAATCAAACAGTCCACTTAGGAAGCAACACTGATTGACAATACATTTCACATGCTGTTGTGCAAATGGAATAGACAACAGGTGGAAATTTATAGACAATTAGCAAGACACCCCCAATAAAGGAGTGGTTCTGCAGGTGGTGACCACAGACCACTTCTCAGTTCCTATGCTTCCTGGCTGATGTTTTGGTCACTTTTGAATGCTGGCGGTGCTTTCACTCTAGTGGTAGCATGATACGGAGTCTACAACCCACACAAGTGGCTCAGGTAGTGCAGCTCATCCAGGATGGCACATCAATGCGAGCTGTGGCAAGAAGTTTTACTGTGTCTGTCAGCGTAGTGTCCAGAGCATGGAGGCGCTACCAGGAGACAGGCCAGTACATCAGGAGACGTGGAGGAGGCTGTAGGAGGGCAACAACCCAGCAGCAGGACCGCTACCTCTGCCTTTGTGCAAGGAGGAGCAGGAGGAGCACTGGCGCCCTGTGCTCTTCACAGATGAAAGCAGGTTCACACTGAGCACATGTGACAGACGTGACAGAGTCTGGAGACGCCGTGGAGAACGTTCTGCTGCCTGCAACATCCTCCAGCATGACCGGTTTGGTGGTGGGTCAGTCATGGTGTGGGGTGGCATTTCTTTGGGGTGCTCGCCAGAGGTAGCCTGACTGCCATTAGGTACCGAGATGAGATCCTCAGACCCCTTGTGAGACCATATGCTGGTGCGGTTGGCCCTGGGTTCCTCCTAATGCAAGACAATGCTAGACCTCATGTGGCTGGAGTGTCCCAGCAGTTCCTGCAAGAGGAAGGCATTGATGCTATGGACTGGCCCGCCCGTTCCCCAGACCTGAATCCAATTGAGCACATCTGGGACATCATGTCTCGCTCCATCCACCAACGCCACGTTGCACCACAGACTGTCCAGGAGTTGGCGGATGCTTTAGTCCAGGTCTGGGAGGAGATCCCTCAGGAGACCATCCGCCACCTCATTAAGAGCATGCCCAGGCATTGTAGGGAGGTCATACAGGCACGTGGAGGCCACACACACTACTGAGCCTAATTTTTACTTGTTTTAAGGACATTACATCAAAGTTGGATCATCCTGTAGTGTGGTTTTCCACTTTAATTTTGAGTGTGACTCCAAATCCAGACCTCCATGGGTTGATAAATTTGATTTCCATTGATAATTTTTGTGTGATTTTGTTGTCAGCACATTCAACTATGTAAAGAAAAAATGTCATTAATTCAGATCTAGGATGTGTTATTTTAGTGTTCTCTTCATTTTTTTGAGCAGTGTATATATAAATCAGATTTAAATCACATTTATTTATAAAGCCCTTTTTACATCAGCAAAGTGCTTATACAGAAACCCAGCCTAAATCCCCAAACTGCAAGCAAAGCAGATGTAGAAGCCGGGCCTGGGCAAAATGCCGGCTGACTACCTGAAAGTATGAAAAATGTATGCACTCACTAACTGTAAGTCGCTCTGGATAAGAGCGTCTACTAAATGACTTAAATGTAAATGTAAGTACTTATGGTATATCCTAAACCAGAATAGTACAGTACTACCCTTCTCTAAAAGAATAAACCGCATACAAAATATGACTACAAAAATCACTCTGGATGGTCTCTATTAGGCCTAGATCTAACTAATTAACTCTGAACTAGAAACAGTTGCTAATTCCTATCCAGAATATAAAGCGTCTGTCAGTCTAAGATCTACTTCCTCTTATATAGAGTGATGACTGGTGGTGACACATACTGTACCTCAGTAGGTAAGCCATTTCTGTTTGCTCAGAATTCTGCTTTGCATGTCCAAGCTGTTCCATCACCACAAAGCAGACCATTAGAGGTTAGTCAAAACAGAGCATAAGATAACAAATAGCCAGCCCAACCTCACAAGTACACCATAGACACAGGCCTACGATCAGCTTACTGTACCCTTCCCCAATCCTAACCTTAACCATTAGACAAGGAATGTAAAGACAAGGAATGGAAAACTGACCTTAGATCAGTATCTAGCTGCAACTGTATTCTTCTCTTACCCAATATGGTTCAGGCAGTGTGTGTTTTAGGCACTCAGCCCCTCCCAGCACACAATAAGGGAGATTGTTGAGTGGCGGGAGTAAATCATGTAATAGGAAACATACTGTAGGCCAGGCCTGTAAATGTTGCACAGTTCAAACAGAAAATGGAACTGACTCTCAGGGCCCGCTACTGCATGAGCCTATAGAGAATGAGTCACATACACAATCTCATGTGTAGCGTTACTAGCGTAGTCTAGCACTAGCACAGTCACATGGGCACAAAGATACACACACAGGCGTGCTCCCCTCTTCACTGATTATGATGAATGAAGAGGCAAAGGGATATCACACACTTATGTGGTTCCAGTTAACACATAGAAACAGCGTAATGCAACAGCACATGATGCCTACACCTGATCCAGGAGCACAGCCAATTTAGCTGAGCAAACAATGATTTCATTATATCACAGAAATTATCAGAAAGAGGGTACAGTGTGTGAGTCAGAGATTAAGTACCATTGTGTGTGTGTGTGTAAATCTCTGAGTTTCTGTATGTACGACATGCATGAGTGAGTAGGTTTGTAGACGTGTGCCTCTGGGTTTAACATGTGCATTGTGATGGTGCTAGGTTAGGAACAGGTCAAACTCAGAGTTGTGTGTGCACATGGGTGTGTGTAAGGGGAGTCTCGAGATGTGTCAACAATTTGAAGATGAGTAAGGGAGCAGTGACTGTGCAAGCTTAGGCTGTGTGTGTATGTCTGTGTGAGAGCAGCACTCATGAAATCGAAATGAAAGATGTGCTTTGACAGATGGAGGGTACCGTATGTTGCTAACGTACAGTTGAAGTCAGAAGTTTACATACACCTTAGCAAAATACATTTCAATTCCGTTTTTCACAATTCCTGTCATTTAATCCTAGTAATAATTCCCTGTCTTAGGTCAGTTAGAATCACCACTTTATTTTAAGAATGTGAAATGTCAGAATTATGGTAGAGAGAATTATTTATTTCAGCTTTTATTTCTTTCATCACATTCCCAGTGGGTCAGAGGTTTACATACACTCAATTAGTATTTGGTAGCATTGCCTTTAAATTGTTTAACTTGGGTCAAACGTGTCTGGTAGCCTTCCACAAGCTTCCCTTAATAAGTTGAGTGAATTTTGGCCCATTCCTCCTGACAGAGCTGGTGTAACTGAGTCAGGTTTGTAGGCCTCCTTGCTCGCACACACTTTTTCAGTTCTGCCCACAAATGTCCTATATGAATGAGGTCAGGGCTTTGTGATGGCCACTCCAAGACCTTGACTTTGTTGTCCTTAAGCCATTTTGCCACAACTTTGGAAGTATGCTTGGGTTCATTGTCCATTTGGAAGACCCATTTGCGACCAGGCTTTAACTTCCTGACTGATGTCTTGAGATGTTGCTTCAATATATCCACATAAATTCCCTCCCTCATGATGCTATCTATTTTGTGAAGTGCACCAGTCCCTCCTGCAGCAAAGCACCCCCACAGCATGATGCTGCCACCCCCCGTCCTTCACGGTTGGGATGGTGTTCCCTCGGCTTGCAAGTCGCCCCCTTCTTCCTCCAAACATAACGATGGTCATTATGGCCAAACAGTTCAATTTTTGTTTCATCAGACCAGAGGACATTTCTCCATGTGCAGTTGCAAACCGTAGTCTGGCTTTTTTATGGCGGTTTTGGGGCAATGGCTTCTTCCTTACTGAGCGGCCTTTCAGGTTATGTCGATATAGTACTCGTTTTACTGTGGATATAGATACTTTTGTACCTGTTTCCTCCAGCATCTTCAGAAGGTCCTTTGCTGTTGTTCTGGGATTGATTCGCACTTTTCGCAACAAAGTACGTTCAGCTCTAGGAGACAGAACGCGTCTCCTTCCTGAGCGGTATGACGGCTGCGTGGTCCCATGGTTTTTATCCTTGCTTACTATTGTTTGTACAGATGAACGAGGTACCTTCAAGCGTTTGGAAATTGCTCCCAAGGATGAACCAGACTTGTGGAGGTCTACAATTTTTTTTCTGAGGTCTTGGCTGATTTCTTTTGATTTTCCCATGATTTCAAGCAAAGAGGCACTGAGTTTGAAGGTAGGCCTTGAAATATATCCACAGGTTCACCTCCAGTTGACTCAAATTATGTAAATTAGCCTATCAGAAGCTTCTAAAGTCATGACATCATTTTCTGGAATTTTCCAAGGTGTTTAAAGGCACAGTCAACTTAGTGTATGTAAACTTCTGACCCACTGGAATTGTGATACAGTGAATTACTGTTGAACTACTGTTTTTTAAGTTTCATAAGTTTATTCGCCACGTGCAGGTGTAAACAAGTGCAGTGACGTTCTTACCTTAAGAGCTCTTTCCCAACAATGCAGTTGATGATGATAATAATACAGATACTAATATAAATTTAAAAATACATACAGTGAGGGAAAAAAGTATTTGATCCCCTGCTGATTTTGTATGTTTGCCCATTGACAAAGACATGATCAATCTATAATTGTAATGGTAGGTTTATTTGAACAGTGAGAGACAGAATAACAACAACAAAAATCCAGAAAAACACATGTCAAAAATGTTATAAATTGAATTGCATTTTAATGAGGGAAATAAGTATTTGACCCCCTCTCAATCAGAAAGATTTCTGGCTCCCAGGTGACTTTTATACAGGTAACGAGCTGATATTAGGAGCACACTCTTAAAGGGAGTGCTCCTAATCTCAGTTTGTTACCTGTATAAAAGACACCTGTCCACAGAAGCAATCAATCAATCAGATTCCAAACTCTCCACCATGGCCAAGACCAAAGAGCTCTCCAAGGATGTCAGGGACAGGATTGTAGACCTACACAAGGCTGGAATGGTCTGTAAGACCATCGCCAAGCAGCTTGGTGAGAAGGTGACAACAGTTTGTGCGATTATTCGCAAATGGAAGAAACAAAAAATAACTGTCAATCTCCCTCGGCCTGGGGCTCCATGCAAGTTCTCACCTCGTGGAGTTGCAATGATCATGAGAACGGTGAGGAATCAGCCCAGAACTACACAGTAGGATCTTGTCAATGATCTCAAGGCAGCTGGGACCATAGTCACCAAGAAAACAATTGGTAACACACTACGCTGTGAAGGACTGAAATCCTGCTCAAGAAAGCACATACAGTGGGGAAAAAAGTATTTAGTCAGCCACCAATTGTGCAAGTTCTCCCACTTAAAAAGATGAGAGAGGCCTGTAATTTTCATCATAGGTGCACGTCAACTATGACAGACAAAATGAGAAAAAATGTTCCAGAAAATCACATTGTAGGATTTTTTATGAATTTATTGGCATATGATGGTGGAAAATAAGTATTTGGTCAATAACAAAAGTTTCTCAATACTTTGTTATATACCCTTTGTTGGCAATGACACAGGTCAAACGTTTTCTGTAAGTCTTCACAAGGTTTTCACACACTGTTGCTGGTATTTTGGCCCATTCCTCCATGCAGATCTCCTCTAGAGCAGTGATGTTTTGGGGCTGTCGCTGGGCAACACAGACTTTCAACTCCCTCCAAAGATTTTCTATGGGGTTTTCTACTGGCTAGGCCACTCCAGGACCTTGAAATGCTTCTTACGAAGCCACTCCTTCGTTGCCCGGGCGGTGTGTTTGGGATCATTGTCATGCTGAAAGACCCAGCCACGTTTCATCTTCAATGCCCTTGCTGATGGAAGGAGGGTTTCACTCAAAATCTCACGATACATGGCCCCATTCATTCTTTCCTTTACACGGATCAGTCGTCCTGGTCCCTTTGCAGAAAAACAGCCCCAAAGCATGATGTTTCCAACCCCATGCTTCACAGTAGGTATGGTGTTCTTTGGATGCAACTCAGCATTCTTTGTCCTCCAAACATGACGAGTTGAGTTTTTACCAAAAAGTTATATTTTGGTTTCATCTGACCATATGACATTCTCCCAATCCTCTTCTGGATCATCCAAATGCACTTCAGACGGGCCTGGACATGTACTGGCTTAAGCAGGGGGACACGTCTCGCACTGCAGGATTTGAGTCCCTGGCGGCGTAGTGTGTTACTGATGGTAGGCTTTGTTACTTTGGTCCCAGCTCTCTGCAGGTCATTCACTAGGTCCCCCCGTGTGGTTCTGGGATTTTTGCTCACCGTTCTTGTGATCATTTTGACCCCACGGGGTGAGATCTTGCGTGGAGCCCCAGATCAAGGGAGATTATCAGTGGTCTTGTATGTCTTCCATTTCCTAATAATTGCTCCCACAGTTGATTTCTTCAAACCAAGCTGCTTACCTATTGCAGATTCAGTCTTCCCAGCCTGGTGCAGGTCTACAATTTTGTTTTTGGTGTCCTTTGACAGCTCTTTGGTCTTGGCCATAGTGGAGTTTGGAGTGTGACTGTTTGAGGTTGTGGACAGGTGTCTTTTATACTGATAACAAGTTCAAACAGGTGCCATTAATACAGGTAACGAGTGGAGGTCAGAGGAGCCTCTTAAAGAAGAAGTTACAGGTCTGTGAGAGCCAGAAATCTTGCTTGTTTGTAAGTGACCAAATACTTATTTTCCACCATATTTTGCAAATAAATTCATTAAAAATCCTACAATGTGATTTTCTGGAATTTTTTTTCTCAATTTGTCTGTCATAGTTGACGTGTACCTATGATGAAAATTACAGGCCTCTCTCATCTTTTTAAGTGGGAGAACTTGCAAAATTGGTGGCTGACTAAATACTTTTTTTCCCCACTGTATACAGGCCCGTCTGAAGTTTGCCAATGAAAATCTGAATGATTCAGAGGAGAACTGGGTGAAAGTGTTGTGGTCAGATGAGACCAAAATCGAGCTCTTTGCCATCAACTCAACTCGCCGTGTTTGGAGGAGGAGGAATGCTGCCTATGACCCCAAGAACACCATCCCCACCGTCAAACATGGAGGTGGAAACATTATGCTTTGGGGGTGTTTTTCTGCTAAGGTGACAGGACAACTTCAACGCATCAAAGGGACGATGGACGGAGCCATTGTTGGGATTTGTTTTCTCATAACTGGATGTGATACCTACCTTGGAAGGAATGCATTGATGATAAGCATAAAAGGTCTGTACTGTACTGATATAAATTGTTTCACCTGGCATGCTGTGATTAATGTGAGGAACTGTTTTAGGGAGAAGGTGAAGATAAGAATTTGTGTCTCCAAATACTAGACTACACTGCTTCTTTGTGATCTGTGAACCGTCCTTGGACGTAGGAATGGTTTCTAGGGGAGCTGGCTTTTCTTACCATGACAGGTTGTTATGATAAGAACTTATGCCTGGCAACAGTGTGCAACGGTGGAGCGCCAAGGGGCTGGGACCAGCCGGTGCGCCAACAGATAGGCTGAGTAAGTCTAAACCACGCTCAGTCTCTACTCTGATTGGCCAGCAGGGAGTGGGAAAAATCTCTGTCAGAGTATTTGAAGAAGAACCTGTAACAATGGATTAGTTCTCTGAGTGCCCTGCGAGGTATTTCAGTGGACCCGTATATACGAACATCATATTTACCATTGAAGGTTTTGCATTAATTAAAATACTAGTATATCTTAGAAGTCGTGTTGACCTCTTTTGTCCCAAATACCAGATTTGAATTGACGCAACTTGACACCATGTACCGTCAAATCTTGGGTGAGAATCTCCTTCCCTCAGCCAGGGCATTGAAAATGGGTCGTGGATGGGTATTCCAGCATGACAATGACCCAAAACACACGGCCAAGGCAACAAAGGAGTTGCTCACGAAGAAGCACATTAAGGTCCTGGAGTGGCCTAGCCAGTCTCCAGACCTTAATCCCATAGAAAATCTGTGGAGGGAGCTGAAGGTTCGAGTTGCCAAACGTCAGCCTCGAAACCTTAATGACTCGGAGAAGATCTGCAAAGAGGAGTGGGACAAAATACCTCCTGAGATCTGTGCAAACCTGGTGGCCAACTACAAGATACATCTGACCTCTGTGAATGCCAACAAGGGTTTTGCCACCAAGTACTAAGTCATGTTTTGCATGGGGGTCAAATACTTATTTCCCTCACTAAAATGCAAATCATTTTATAACATTTTTGACATGCATTCTTCTGGATTTTTTTGTTGTTATTCTGTCTCTCACTGTTCAAATAAACCTACCATTAAAATTATAGACTGATCATATCTTTGTCAGTGGGCAAACGTACAAAATCAACAGGGGATCAAATACTTTTTTTTCCCTCACTGTATATATATATACAAAAAATTAACTGGTAGCAGGAATATATAAATATATGCTAAAATAATGTTAATATACAGTGCATTCGGAAATACTTTTTCCACATTTTGTTACGTTACAGCCTTTTTCTAAAATGGATGAAATTGTTATTTTTCCTCATCAATCTACACACAATTCCCCATAATGACAAAGCAAAAACAGGTTTTTAGTTTTTTTTCTTCTTCACATTTTAGTAAAAATAAAAAGCTGAAATATACTTTTACATAAGTATTCAGACCCTTTACTCAGTATTTTGTTGAAGCACCTTTGGCAGCGATTACAGCCTCGAGTCTTCTTGGGTATGACACTACAAACTTAGCACACCTGTATTTGGGGAGTTTCTCCCATTCTTTTCTGCAGATCCTCTAAAGCTCTGTCAGGTTGGATGGGGAGCGTCGCTGCACAGCTATTTTCAGGTCTCTCCAGAGACGTTAGATCGGGTTCAAGTCTGGGCTTTGGCTGGGCCACTCAAGGACATTCAGAGACTTGTCCCGAAGCCACTCTTGCATTGTCTTGGCTGTGTGCTTAGGGTTGTTGTCCTTTTGGAAGGTGAACCTCGCACCAGTCTGAGGTCCTGAGCGCTCTGGAGCAGATTTTTATCAAGGATCTCTCTGTACTTTGTTCCGTTCATCTTTCCCTCGATCCTGACTAGTCTCCCAGTCCCTGCCGCTGAAAAACATCCCCTCAGCATGATGCTGCCACCACCACCATGATGCTGCCACCACCATGCCAAATTGTTTCAGACTCCCGAGGGAGAAGAGGTGTTGTCGTACCTTCACGACTGTGCTGGTGTGAGAGGACCATGTTAAGTGCTCAGTGATATAGACACTGAGGAACTTGAAGCTCTTGACCCTCTCCACTGCGGCTCCGTCGATGTGGATGGTGGTGTGCACCCCCCTCTTCACCCCATTTCCTGTAGTTCACAATCAGCTCCTTGGTCTTGCTGACATTAAGAGAGAGGTTGTTGTCCTGGCACCACACTGACGGTTCTCTGACTTCCTCCCTTTAGGCTGTCTCATCGCCGTTGGTGATCAGGCCTAACACTGTTATGTCGTAGGCCTGAGTTGCAGTCTTGCGTGGCCACACAGTCGTGGGTAAACATGGAGTACAGGAGGGCAGCTAATTACACACACCCATGGGGGGCCCCTGTGTTGAGGGTCAACGTTGCGGAGGTGATGTTGCCTACTTTCACCACCTGGGGTCGACCTGTCAGGAAGTCCAGGATCCAGTTGCAGAGGGAGGTGTTCAGTCCCAGGGTCCCGAGCTTGGTGACGAGCTTGGAGGGCATTACGGTGTTGAACGCTGAGCTGTGGTCAATGAACAGCATTCTCACATAGGTATTCCTCTTGTCCAGGTGGGAGAGGGCAGTGTGGAGTGCAATTGAGATTGCGTTGTCTGTACATCTGTTGGGGCGGTATGCGAATTGTAGTGGGCCTAGTGCGTCTGGGATGATGGAGGTGATGTGTGCCATGACCAGCCTTTCAAAGCACTTCATGATTACATATGTTAGTGCTACAGGACAGTAGTCATTGTGGCAGTTAACCTTAGAGTTCTTGGGAACAGAAATGATGGTGGTCAGCTTGAGACATGTGGCGATTACAGACTGCGACAAGGAGAGTTTGAAAATTACAGTGAAGATGCCTGCCAGCTGCTCAGCGCATGCTCTGAGTGTTTTAACAGTGATGAATATAGCCTAGTACACTGACCTTTCTATCTTTTAAAATAATTGCAAATCCAAAGTCTTGTCCAACACATTCTTGTACCTCTCACTCCGGTAGCGTTGCGTTTGGTTCTGATCTCAGCCGTGGACCCCGTAGCGACCATCGCCATCTTCAATGCCCTCAACGTGGACCCTGTCCTCAACATGCTGGTGTTTGGAGAGAGCATCCTCAACAACGCTGTCTCCATCGTACTCACCGAGTACGTACTCCTCCTACTGATCCTCCTTTCCTCCTCTCTTCCTCCACATACTGTTTTATCTAGGCACTACATTTTATCCAGGCATCTTACATCTTCTGGAAAAGGCCAGTATTATTCTTAGAGTCGGTGCAGTCACGCTCTGTCTCAGTGTTGTCCTTGTAAATCAGCTGAGCTTCCATGCTCCTCTGTGGCGCCCCAGTCTTCTCCCGACCTTTGACCTTTTGACCCGCTCTGCTTTTTGCTGTGTGTGTGTGTACGTTTGCTTTATGCTGATAGCAAAGAACAACACACAAAGCTCTGAGGAAAGAGAGTGACTTATTTCACAGCCTGACTGAGGCATGCACAGTAACAGTTCTGACAATCCTACAGCCTAACCACCACCAGAAACATGCCAGAACATGCCAAGCTTTCTTTTCACATATCTCTCTTCTTGTGTGTGATTAGAAGCAGGTGTTATTCAGAATCAGAATCAACAGTTGGCAGAGGAGTGTTTTGCAAAAGTATTCATCCCCGTTAGCGTTTTTCCTATTTTGTTGCATTACAACCTGTAATTTAAATTGATTTTTATTTGGATTTCATGTAATGGACATACACAAAATAGTCCAAATGGTGAAGTGAAATTTAAAAAATTACTTGTTTCATAAAATTCAAAAAAAAAAAAATAACGGAAAAGTGGTGCGTGCATATGTATTCACACCCTTTGCTATGAAGCCCCTAAATAAGATCTGGTGCAACCAATTACCTTCAGAAGTCACATAATTATTTAGATTGCACACAGGTGGACTTTATTTAAGTGTCACATGATCTGTCACATGATCTCAGTATATTCTGAAAGGCCCCAGAGTCTGCAACACCACTAAGCAAGGAGCACCACCAAGCAAGCGGCACCATGAAGACCGAGGAGCTCTCCAAACAGGTCAGGGACAAAGTTGTTGAGAAGTACAGATCAGGGTTGGGTGAATAGTTATGCACGCTCAAGTTTTCTGTTTTTTTGCCTTATTTCTTGTTTGTTTCACAATAAAAAATATTTTGCATCTTCAAAGTGGTAGACATCTTGTGTAAATCAAACGATACAAAACCCCAAAAACTCCATTTTAATTCCAGGTTGTAGGCAACAAAATAGGAAAAATGCCAAGTAGGGTGAATACTTTCGCATGCTACTGTATATGTCATATCTACCTCAATTACCTCGGCTGTACAAGACATTACATACTGAATCCTGACAGACTGGTTTGACGGAAACATTCAGCCTGTTATTGCCACTCCTCTCTCTTGTCTCTTTCTCTTGTCTCTTTCTCTCTCTCTCTCTCTCTCTGTGTCTCTGTGTCACAACCATGGTGCCCTCAAGTGTCTCCTCGCCCATATAAAGTAAATTAACCCATGCATAGTGGATAGGCCAGCAGTTGACCGCTGATAGTGTGTGGGATAGCCAGCTAATGGTAGTAACTCGACTAGCTGTGAAAACACATGCCACTGCCAGATCATTAGCACTATTTGGTGGTATCAATGATCGTCTGGCTGTTATTTGATCTAGCCAGATTTGTGCTTTTACCCTGCTCCTCTATGTATGTCATGACGGTGATGGTTAGATCAGTTGGCGAAAGCCACCTATAAGGTTCTGGGAACAGCATGGTAAAGCTCATCATTGGATCTTTATTCAGACAAAGAGAGAGACACTTGAGAACGCTTCATAGACACTGGAGTGCCAGATCCTGAGATCAAACAATAATATCCTTTGCTCAAAACAAAAGTGGTGCCCTTTCAGTAAACACTTGTCACTAATGGGTTGAAACAGGCCATACCCACTCCAGTTGGAAGAGTCCCAATCTGTTTCTGTGGCTCAGAGACTGGGACAGGGACAGACAACGGGTTTGTTTCACCCCATCGGTGACAGATGTTTACAAAAAGGGTAAACAGGTAGTTTTATAGTTCTTAGTATATTTTACTTGTTTGATCTAAGGAGCTATTGTATTCCAGTGGAGGCTGCTGAGGGGAAGATGGCTCATTAATAATAGCTGGAACGGAGCAAATGGAATGGCATCAAACACATGGTATCATGTGGTTGATGTATTTGATACCATTCCGCTCCAGCCATCACCACAAGCCCGTCCTCCCCAATTAAGGTGCCACCAACCTCCTGTGTTGTATTCAGACATTAGATATACTGTGTCCCTTGTTTCATCTTTGACTGACTCGGTCATAGGGGAAGACTGTTGTCACTTCTCAGATCTGTACAGCGCAATCTGATAACCCTGTGTTGGGAGAACAGGTTCTCAATAGAGGGATTGCAGACACACACACAGTAGACAGTATTTAGTGGTGCAACGTGACTGCCCTCTAGGGTGACATTGTAGTAGTGCATGTTGGATTAATTACTCTATGGCCCTCTGGCAAAATATAAAGCATATACACTTTTAAGTTGAAATGGTTTACATCACGGTTGCCCAACCCTGTTCCTGGAAAGCTACCCTCCTGTAGGTTTTCGCTCCAACCCAAAGTGTTACTAACCTGATTCATCTTATCAACCTGCTAATTATTAGAATCAGGTGTGCTAGATTAGTGTTGGAGAAAAAACCTACAGGACGGTAGCTCTCCAGGAACAGGGTTTGGCAGTCCTGGTTTACATATTCCCTCCCCAAGGTAATCCATTCTAATGTAATATATTACCTAAGTAATTATTGGTTTACATAAAACAAGATTAAACACACTATGCCTAACATCACGATAATGTATTATTTTCCCTCTCTTTATCTAGTTGTGTCGTCCAGTATGGCGGAGGGATTTGCCCGGGATGATAATGCCATTGGTAACGGGCTGGGAGACGTTCCTCCAGGCGTTGGGATACTTCCTCAAGATGTTCTTCGGTTCTGCTGCACTCGGAGCCCTGACCATACTCATCTCTGCCATCGTATCCTCTCTGTGTGTGTGTGCCCGTGTGTGATTGAGCGTTTTGGTTAATATGTTAATAATATTCCCATTCAACATGTTTCAGTTTGACCCTTAACCCTTAACCCCTGTGCCAGTCCCTGAAACACTTTGACCTGAGGTAGACCCCGTCTCTAGAGTTTGGCATGATGATCAACTAAGGCCTGGTAGAGGGCATCAAACTGTTTGGTGAGTCCTCTCTATTCAGTGTAAACACAATGGAATGTCATGAATTGTTCCACACAATTGCTAACCTCTCTCACCTCCCTATCTCTCTGTGCAGGTATAATGTCGATCCTGTTTTCGGGGATCGTGATGTCACACTACACACATCACAACCTGTCTCCTGTCACTCAGACCCTGATGCAGCAGACCCTCCACATGGTGGCCTTCATGTGTGGTCAGCACTCCTCTTTCTCCCTCACCTGTCCTTTTCCCCAAATCCTGTAATAACAGACCAGTAAGATGGCATGTATATTATGTATGTTTTATCCTATTGTTTTCTTGTCCACAGAGACGTGTGTGTTTGCCTTCCTGGGTCTCTTCAGCTTCCCTCACATGTTTGAGCTGTCCTTCGCCATCTGGTGTATAATAAGTACTCCCAAACTGTAGTGACCAGATACAGCCTAGCATTAGCATTCTATACTATACAACAACTGGTTGAGCCGAGAGGTGGACATGAAGCTAGGGTTAGGGTTAAAGCTAGTGTTAGGGGTTGAGCCGAGATGTGGACATGAAGCTAGGGTTAGGGTTAAAGCTAGTGTTAGGGGTTGAGCCGAGATGTGGACATGAAGCTAGGGTTAGGGTTAAAGCTAGTGTTAGGGGTTGAGCCGAGATGTGGACATGAAGCTAGGGTTAGGGTTAAAGCTAGTGTTAGGGGTTGAGCCGAGATGTGGACATGAAGCTAGGGTTAGGGTTAAGCTGTTTGTTCTCTTTCCAGGTGTTGGTAGGTTAGGGGTAGAGGTTAGTTAGTGTTCTGAGTTTTTTGTTCCGTCTCTCTCCAGGTACTGGTGTTAGTAGGTCGGGCGGTGAACATCTTCCCGCTCTCTTTCCTGCTCAACTTCTTCAGAGACCACAAGATCACACCTAAGGTGATGTTCATCATGTGGTTTAGTGGTAAGTAGAGCAGTTCTCTAATAATTCTCCATCTGTTTGGCTCTAATAATAATAATAATATGCCATTTAGCAGATGCTTTTCTCCAAAGCGACTTACAGTCATGCGTGCATACATTTTTGTGTATGGGTGGACCCGGGGATCGAACCCACTACCTTGGCGTTACAAGCGCCGTGCTCTACCAGCTGAGCTACAGAGGACCACATCCCTCTCTCCTGTTTTATGGTACCTGAAATAACAAATACTCTCCCTTTCTCATCTCTCTCTCCATCCCTCAATCCTCTCCTCTGTTAGGTCTGATAGGTGCCATTACCTATGCCCTGAGCCTTCATCTTGGGTTAGGGCCCATAGAGAAGCGGCAGTTAATTGGCACCATCATCATCCTCTTCGCCATCCTCCTCCTTGGCAGCTGGACCATGCCCCTCATCCACATTATTGACAACGAGGAGAGCCAATCCTGACACAAGAGCAAGGACATCAACCTCAGCTAGACTGAGAAAATTGTTAAAAACACTGCACCGCTTTAACCGTGTGCACGTATAGAGTAGTGCATGTAGACATACACAAGCAGACGTTAAAGATGCAATCCGCAGTAGGCGGAAACAGCGCCACGGCCGCCCCACCACCGCTGTTATTGTTTTTGTCGCCGAGCTGAGGAGACGTTGTGCAGAATGGTAATATCAATTGCAGTAAATGTAGTGCTCTTCTATTGCACGTGCAATGATGTCCGAGGGGAAGAAAGCAGTGTTTGTGGTTTGTAATAACTAATTTGTTGTTGTTATATCGCAAACAGACGTGGCTGTTTCACCATTAAGGATTTCAGCTTTAACACACACAATAGCAAGCACTTAGCCTGAAATCCAGTCTGTCTCTGTGTGTATATATATATATGACATGCATGTTATCCATGTAATCCCACCTTATGTTCATATTTAATTCATAAGCGCCCAGTCATATTAGTTTAAAAGACACTTACAGTACATTACCAAAAGTATGTGGACACCTGCTCGTTGAACATCTCATTAGAAAATCATGGGCATTAATATGGAGTTGGTCCCCCCTTTGCTGCTATAACAGCCTTCATTATTCTGGGAAGGGTTTCCACTAGATGTTGGAACATTGCTACAGGGACTTGCTTCCATTCAGCCACAACCATTAGTGAGGTCAGGCACTGATGTTGGGCGATATGGCCTGGCTCGCAGTCGGCGTTCCAATTCATCCCAAAAGTGTTCGATGGGGTTGAGGTCAGGGCTCTGTGTAGGCCAGTAAAGTTCTTCCATACCTATCTCGACAAATCATTTTTGTATGGACCTTGCTTTGTGCATGGGGGCATTGTCATGCTGAAACAGGAAAGAGCCTTCCCCAAATTGTTGCCACAAAGTTGGAAGCACAGAATCATCTAGAATGTCATTGTATGCTGTAGCGTTACGATTTCCCTTCACTGGAACTAAGGGGCATAGCCCGAACCATGAAAAACAGCCCCAGACCATTATTCCTCCTCCACCAAACTTTACAGTTGGCACTATGTATTTGGGCAGGTAGCGTTCTCCTGGCATCCGCCAAATCCAGATTCGTCCGTCGGACTGCCAGATGGTGAAGCGTGATTCATCACTGCAGAGAACGCGTTTCCACTGCTCCAGAATCTAATGGCGGCGAGATTTACACCACTCCAGCTGACGCTTGGCATTGAGCATGGTGTTCTTAGGCTTGTGTGCGACTGCTCGGCCATGAAACCCATTTCATGAAGCTCCCGACGAACAGTTCTTATGCTGACATTGCTTCCAGAGGCAGTTTGGAACCGAGAACCGAGGACAGACCATTTTTACGCGGTACGTGCTACAGGGGTGTGGTTGAAAAGGCAGAATCTACTAATTTGAAGAGGTGTCTACATACTTTTGTATATCCCTTGATCTCCACTCCTTGATTTCAATTCCTCAGATGTTTTCCTTTGCTCTGAGTGTGTGAGTTAGAGTGTCTGCGTGTGGATGTACGTGCATGCTTATGCGTGTGTTGTTCTCATGTTTGTGTGTGTGTGTGTGTGTGTGTGTTTTTTATATGTGTGGGTTTCTGGACCTCCTGCACGCTCGGATCCAGATGAAAACGCTGACCAGTAAGTGGTACGAGGAGGTCCGACTGGGCCCGTCACACACACCTGAGAGTGTAGACCAGTGGGAAGAAGATGAACAGTGTGTGGGTCCTGGATTCAGAGTGTGTATGGAAGGACAGGAGACTGTTGTGGAGGAATACCACACGTGTCACCTGTGTGTTCATGACCACTAATGAGTGTCTAATGAGTGTCTTTCTCTGTGGACTATACCACTCTGGAGGCCCCACCTCACACCACTACCACACCCTTAAACTGAAGCTCACCATTTGGGGCTCCCGAGTGGTGCAGCGGTCTAAGGCACTGCATCACAGTGCTAGAGCATCACTACAGACCCTGGTTCGAGTCCAGGCTGTATCACAATCTGACAATCCGGCCGTGATTGGGAGTCCCATAGGGCGGTGCACAATTGGCCCAGCTTCGTCCGGGTTTGGCCGGGGTAGGCCGTCATTGTAAATAAGAATTTGTTCTTAACTGACTTGTCTAGTTAAATAAAAAAATTGACCTGAGCCAATCCAAAATGCGTTGTTTGTGGCCGGGTGGAACTGGTAATCACACATTAAGTTGCAATTATACCATGTAATGATATTGGAATTGATTTATAGCTAAAGCTTTTCCAAGTGCCAACATGTTACTATTCAGCTCACAGTAACTACATATAAGGTGCAGGGAACATTGGCCAAAGGAAGGCCCGTGTGTGTCTGTGTAGTTACATGAAATTGAACCAACTACATGTTATTTGACAAAGTTTAGAGGACTATAAAGGTTACAAAAGAAGCTTGAAGGGAATCAGAAAGGAACTCCTGTGAAGAGAGGGAAGCCTCTCTTGTAAAGCAATAGTGCACTTTTTTACTGTTTAGTTCCATATTTAATGTGCTTTTACATGTTCTCATAACTAGATGTTCTGGTAACACAATTTTAATGTCGGGTTATAAACTGCTTTTTTCATGATGTCCATGATACCAGGTTATATTACTATTTAACATGATTTACAGTACCAATCAAAAGTTTGGACACACCTACTCATTCAAGGGTTTTTCTTTATTTTTACTATTTTCTACATTGTAGAATAATAGTGAAGACATCAAAACTATGAAATAACACATATGGAATCATGTAACCAAAAAAGTGTTAAACAAATCCAAATTTATTTTATATTTTAGATTCTTCAAAGTAGCTACCCTTTGCCTTGATGACAGCTTTACACACTCTTGGCATTCTCTCAACCAGCTTCATGAGGTAATCACCTGGAATGCATTTCAATTAACAGGTGTGCCTTCTTAAGTTAATTTGTGGAATTTCTTTCCTCCTTAATGCATTTGAGCCAATCAGTTGTGTTGTGACAAGGTAGAGGGGGATATACAGAAGATGGTATTTTACCAAATAGGGCTAAATCCATATTATGGCAAGACCAGCTCAAATATGCAAAGAGAAACGACAGTCCATCATTACTTTAAGACATGAACTTTGAAAGTGTCTTCAAGTGCAGTCACAAAAACCATCAAGAGAAAGAAACTAGCTCTCATGAGGACCCCACATGAATGGAAGACCCAGAGTTACCTCTGCTGCAGAGGATAAGTTCATTAGAGTTACCAGCCTCAGAAATTGCAGCCCAAATAAATGCTTCAGAGTTCAAGTCACAGACACATCACAACATCAACTGTTCAGAGGGGACCGTGTGAATCAGGCCTTCATGGTCAAATTGCTGCAAAGAAACCACTACTAAAGGACACCAATAATAAGAAGAGACCTGCTTGGGCCAAGAAACACGAGCAATGGACATTAGACCGGTGGAAATGTGTCCTTTGGAGTCCAAATTTGAGATTTTTGGTTCTAACCACTGTGTCTTTGTGAGATGCGGTGTGGGTGAACGGATGATCTCCGCATGTGTATTTCCCACCGTAAAGCATGGAGGAGGAGGAGGTGTTATGGTGTGGGGGTGCTTTGCTGGTGACACTGTCTGTGATTTATTTAGAATTCAAGGCTCACTTAACCAGCATGGCTACCACAGCATTTTGCAGTGATATGCCATCCCATCTGGTTTGGGCTTAGTGGGAGTATCATATGTTTTTCAATGGGACAATGACCCAACACACCTCCAGGCTGTGTAAGGGCTATTTTACCAAGAAGGAGAGCAAAGGAGTGCTGCATCAGATGACCTGGCCTCCACAATCCCCCAACCTCCACCCAATTGAGATGTTTGGGATGAGTAGGACCGCAGAGTGAAGGGAAAGAAGCCAACAAGTGCTCATCTTATGTGGGAATTCCTTTAGCTGTTGGAAAAGCATTCCAGGTGAAGCTGGTTGAGAGAATGCCAAGAGTGTCTAAAGCTGTCATCAAGGCAAAGTGTGGCTATTTGAAGAATCTCAAATCTCAAATATATTTTGATTTGATTAACACTTCTTTAGTTACTACATGATTTCATATGTGTTATTTCATAGTTTTGATGTTTTCACTACTTTTCTACAATGTAGAAACTAGTAAAAATAAAGAAAAACCCTTGAAAAACTCCCTCTCCCTTCCATCCCGGAGGACCTGAGCCCTAGGACCATGCCTCAGGACTACCTGGCCTGATGACTCTTTGCTGTCCCCAGTCCACCCGGTCGTGCTGCTGCTCCAGTTTCCACTCTTCCGCCTGCGGCTATGGAACCCTGACCTGTTCACCGGACGTGCTACCTTGTCCCAGACCTGCTGTTTTCAACTCTCTCTCTCTACCGCACCTGCTATTTCAACCTCTAAATGCCCGGCTATGAAAAGCCAAGTGACATTTACTCCTGATGCACTGACCTGTTGCAACCTCTACAACCACTGTGATTATTATTTGGTCATGTACTCTTATAATCGCCACCCGGCCACCCCTCAGAGCCTGGTTCCTCTCTAGGTTTCTTCCTAGGTTTCTGCCTTTCTAGGGAGTTTTTACTAGCCACCGTGCTTCTACATCTGTATTGCTTGCTGTTTGGGGTTTTAGGCTGGGTTTCTGTATAGCACTTTCTGACATCTGCTGATGTAAAAAGGGCTTTATAAATAACATTTGATTGATTGATTGTCCAAACTTTTGACTGGTACTGTAAATGTGGACAGTTCTTCCAATATCTTCAATGTGCGCCTCAGAATTGGATAAGGATACACACAGTTGCATCCCCGAAGTGTCTGTCTTCACTTGTAGCCTGTGAGAAAGACCCGATCCATGTGAGTGAGAGGTGCTTCGGAACACGCAGCCGGAAGAAGATTATAATTATTATATTCAACCCAAGGGCACAATGGCCACTGGCCGCTAAAGGCATGGATTTTTTTTGGAGCATTACGGCCACACAAAGAGGATGCCGCCAGGAAATTCGAGGCATTATCAAGTTCTTG